ATTTTTGAAAATATAAAAATAGAATATCTTGGTGGCAGAGTGTTTTTAGCATTTTTTTACACGTCTGTCAAGATTAGCTACAACCAAAGTATTTGACATGCCAACAAGGGTTAAAATTTTCTGTCCGTTTTCCAATTCATCCACCAACTCTGGATTTAACTGGCTATAGAAGAAGCAGTGAAGGGACTGTAATTCGGGGAGTTCTTAGGCTTTCCTTGGCCTCCAGAATCTGGAAGAGTCCACACGCTTTAAGGACTTTGGAAATTCTGGCTCCGGACCCCCATGAGTCATTCCTAAAACACGCCTCGTCAATTGGCTGCTCTGCCTCCTCTGTGGTTGTCCCAGATTTGTTAGCTCACTTGCACAATAGATGTGTTCCTAAAAAGTTGCATGTAATCTGAGCCACATTTACACCCTAGCCCAATATTTAAAGGAATCTTGTGTCAAATCCTTCAGTACTACACAGAATCAGCCTCATCCGCAATTTATCTGTTTTGAAATCAGGTTTTCTGATATCAGGATTTCTGCACAGTGAGATCTACCTGCACATTGCTTACACAGTCTAAATTCACATTTACTATAAACCAAGATAAAAGCATTTCCTCAGTTTGGGGAATGGGAAATTTTTTTTTTTAAATAAAGATTAGAGAAAAAACTGAGACTCAAAACATCAGTAACATGAAATATAAGGTGATGCTTTTTCACGGGCGTAAGTTTGAGTCTGGTGAAAACAATGGAACTTTTGTGAAGGACTCATTTAGTCAAACGTTTTGTGAAAACAGAATTAAGTCAAACCACATTACTGCATGCTAGGAATTTTTGGAAACACAGCGGAACATTCCAAGATAAAATATTAGGTCATTTCAGGGCTTGAGGTGGGGTGAAGTCAGCTAAGTTGGTCTTCGAACTGTTTTTTGGAAGAGCTAAAATGTATGCTTGAGTGGGAAGAAGACTTGAAGAAGCATCAGGAATCATGGACCATTTATTCATTCAGTGTATATTTACTGAGTGCTTACTATGTGCCTGACACTGTGCTAAGTTCTGGGGATACAGCAGGAAAAAAATAGACAAATTTCCTGCCCGCATGGAGCCCACATTCTGATTGTAAACCTTGCTCTCCAGCACTGGGACAGCCGAGCTTTGATCTAATCATTTCTCTTCTCTACTCTGCTTTACTCACTTATCTGTTCTGGCCCTTAGTCTGCTTGTTTGTGAAATAAAGTTGTTAGACTAGATGATCTATCTGTAAAGTCTCTTCCAACTTCAGATATCTTTGATTCGATAATCAAGGAATGAGTATTTCTTAAATAATGCAAAAGAATTGGCAGCTCCAGAATTTCTAGAGCTTTAAGGTTAGCAAACTGGTTGGAAGGAAGGCCTGGGGAATTTGTCTTAAAGCTACATTTCCACAGCCAAGATTTGAACTGAGATTGCGTGCCATTTAAGATTACATGCAAGTGGAGATTCAACGAAGGGTCAAGTCCCCAGCCATCCCCTTGGCACTGCCTCTGCCTTCTCTTCTTTCTCTCTCCTTTTCTTTGCCTCTTCATGTTAGTCTGGTATCTGGGACAACTAAACTGGAGAAGATGAACTAACAAGGTCAGAGCTAGTTCAGGGTAAGAGAAAATGAACTCATCCCGTTCCATTTTGGGTAGTGAAGAAATAGGGGCCTATTCAAAGCCACTTGGCACAAAGACATGAAAATTCAACACAGCTTAAGTCTGTGTTATCCTGAGAGTTGTATGGGACCAGGATAAGAGCAAAGGGCCCATAGAACTTTCCAACAGTGCCTGCCCTTTCCTCTCCTAGGGTCCACAGAAACACCAGGCTAAGGGAACTTTTAGGAATCATCTAAACATAGACACCATTTGTGCTTGTCATCACAATGTAACCTAAGCTATTCTGGTAAGACAAGAACCTCTCAGATTTTTAAAGACCTGCAGAAGTGATGATTACATTATTTTTTCTTAGCTGTACATTTCTGATGTTCAATAATTCTCACTTTTGCAAATCTCATCTTCTCGGTTAACCCAAATTTTCTATTTTGTAATTCCCTTCTACCATTTACTTTATTGATAAAGAAAAGGGGAACCACCATACGCTCTCCTTCCAGTTAACATCGTGCATCCTTCCTGCTTCTTTGCAAACAGTATCAGGGCTGAGCATTGGTGGCCTAGAGACAGCATGAAGTTTGTTGCAAACCCCGAAAGGTTTTCTCCTGCCATGTTATTTTCTGTGTGTGTGTGCATTTCCTGGAACACAACCTTAATATCTCACTAAGTTTATCCCTCACATTGAATAAAGGCATTCTGAATTTTAATTTTCTCTGGGTTAGCCTGGTGTCGTTCATTAACATAACGAACACAAATATGTTCCTGGTGCCTTCATTGAGTTATTGCTGAAAATATGAAACCTCTGTGGACCCAGGACCTACCCAACAGATATTACTCCCCCTTATCACATTTCCTTCCTGGACTTATTTGTACTTTACAGCTCTCTTCCCCAGGAATTGCATCGCTAGTCTCCAAGGCTCTGGACATCTGTTTTGTTCAATTAATTTCATGTTCTTTTTTCATATTCCCCAGCTCCCTCTTAAAGAGGATACGCCTTGACACCAGGGAGCACAGTACTTTGGATGGAAGGGATTGTTTGAGTGTGCTTATTTTTAATTCTTTCAGAGCTTTGTGCAAACCTCTTCAAATCTGTACAAATACCACTGGTTTGCAGAGATTCACTTGGGACTGCTTCTGCATAGGAAAAGCATATTGCATAATGTTTGTGTTTCTTATAAGAGAATGAATCAGCTCCATATAATATTGAATAAAAACAGTAACTTATTAGAGAGTGGTTACTTGTAGGCAAGGGTGTCTGGTAGATCATTTTGCCTATTGCCAGTTGGAACAGAATGCTCTGTTTTTGATAGAATTGCCACTCTTCCCCTTTTGTCAGAGCTTAGGAAGCTGACAAGTATGATACAGAGTCAAAAGACAAGAGTAACTTATCAAATGGTTCCCAGTTAGGCAGACGGTGCTTCAGACTTTTTAAATGGGCTCCTTAACCTGTGAATGACTGCTGCCATTTTGATAGCAATGGAAAGATTTCTGAAATGTTTCTCTCATTTTCACACCAAATTCAGAACCCACAAAAACCAAACCAAATCCATTGTCACTGAGTCGATTCTGACTCATAGCGACCCTATAGGACAGAGTTGAACTGTCCCATAGAGTTTCCAAGGAACACCTGGTGGATTCGAACTGCCAACCTTTTGGTTAGCAACCGTAGCACTTAACCACTACGTCACCAGGGTTTCAATAGAGGTCCTATATTTACTTCAAGTGGTGCTATATTAACCAAGTCCCTTTGCCGATGAGTTGATTCCAACTCATAGCCACCCTATAAGACAGAGTAGAACTACCTCATAGGGTTTCCAAGGCTGTAACCTTTACAGAAGCAGACTGCCACATCTTCCTCCTGCTGAGCAGTTGGTGGATTCCAACTGTTGACCTTTTGGTGAGCAGCCGAGTGCTTTAAACCACTGTGCCACCATGGCTCCGTGGTGCTATATTAGGGGTGGTTCAAAACCAGTTAGCAGACAAATTGGACTGGACGATATGGAAACCAAGGCACAAAGGAAGTTAAACACTGTTCTAAATACAGATAACGAGTCATCCACCAACCTAGAAAAATGAATCCAAGTTTCTTGTCTTATAATCCATGGCTCAACATTTCACTAACATAGAGTGTACTGCAAAGAAACACATATGGGTTCAAATCCCAGCTGTCACCTGCTAGATAATGCGACCTTAAATAAGCCACTTTTCTGAGCTTCCATTTCCTTATCAATAAAATTGTAATAACAAAATCTGTCCCAGAGAGTTGTTGTGAGGATTAATAAAAAAAACTTTATAATATAAGTACAGTGTGTGGAAGTTAACTAAAGCTCAATAAATGGTAGCTATCGTCATCAACACATCCCTACTTCTTTTACTAATTTTTCTTAATGGTTTCCACTTTAAAATAAGTACATATATAAAGAAATTCCTAAGGATTGCCAATTAGCTTCCAGATATTTAAGTGCATACACTAAAGAGAGAAGGTCTCTTGAATAGGGCACAGTCATGAGAACAGGGGATCTTGGTCTTGTTCACAACTCTCCTTTCCCTTCACTCCCCACTCCCATTCCCCTCCCCCTTCTTCTTCATTATGGATTGAATTATGTTACCAAAATGATATATTGAAGTCTTAACCCTTGTTTTTGAAGATGTTATCAGTTAGGTTAACAAGAGTTTATACTGGAGTAGAATTGATCTTAATCCTATATGACTTATAAAAGAGAAGAGACACAGAGACAGAGATAGAGGAAGAACTCCATGTGACATCACAGCTGTAAGCCAAGCACAACCTGGAGCCACCAGAAGACAGGAGAAAGGCATGGGACAATTTCTATCTCAGAGCTCTCAGAAGGAATCAACACAGCTGATATCCTGATTTGGACTTCCAGCCTCCAGAGCTGTGAGACAAAAAATTACTGTTCTTATAAGCCACCCAATTCATGGTTTTCTGTTACAGCAGCCCTAGGAAACTAATACTTCTTTTCTTTCTCTCCTTCTCCCTCTCTGTCTCTTTCATAGTCTCAAATCTTCAGTTTCTTGTTACTAATCATTGCTGATATTATATTATCATACTTAATTGCTTTATTTTTTCTCCTATCAGGTATTATTCTTTCTATGTGCTTCTTAGATCTTAGCTCTACTCTCACCTTTCTTATTTCACTCCTTGTGAATAGAGTAAGCCATGAAACTGGTACCCTCCTAGCATCTTCAGTTGGTGAGCCTATGAATCTGAGATTTGTATCCCAGAAAGGTATTTCACACAATTTCCTGATATGAAGACTCATCTTATTAAAATCCATATTTCTGGGCTCCAAACCATATCTAATGAATCAATCTAATCAGTGTGGGGGCACCCTAGGAGTTTGTATTTTTTTAATTTAATTTATTAAAAATATGGAACACTTCATGAATTTGCGTGTCATCCTTGTGCAAGGCCATGCTAATATTCTTTGTATTGTTCCAATTTTAGAACATGTGCTGCAGAAGAAAACACAGGACATTTGTATTTTTAATAAATGCCCCAAGTTATCCTTCTGATGGTACAAATTTGGGAAACACTTCCCCCTGTGGCCAGGTAGCTTTACATGGTTTCTGGTCTCCAAGAAGCCATACAGAAATTGTGGATCTTAGAGAGCTGAGTGAAAGAATGTGGATGCATCTACACCAGTTCATGTCCGTTCGGAGAAAGTGAGTACACTAATGCATACACAATGGGTCACATGCTAGAGAAATCATCTTCTTACTGTATAGTATATTATGGACCTTTAGAATTTATACACAGTATTGCAAAGGGAATAACACACTTGGCATTTCTCAAACTGAAAGAACTGAAGAAAAAATTCAAGCCTTGAGTTGCAATATTGAAGGATTCTATAGGCAAAATATTGAAGGACATAAGAAGCATCAAAAGAAGATGGAAGGAACACACAGAGTCACTGTACCAAAAAGAATTTGTCAACTTTCAACCATTTCAGGAGGTAGCATATGATCAAGAACTGATGGTATTGAAGGAAGAAGTCCAAGCTGCCGTGAAGGCATTGGTGAAAAACAAGTCTCCAGGTATTGACAGAATACCAATTGAGATGTTTGAACAAATGGATGTGATGCTGGAGGTGCTCATTTGACTATGCCAAGACATTTGGAAGACAGCTACCCGGCCAACAGACTGAGATTCATATTTGTGACCACTTCAAAGAAAGGTGATCCAACAGAATGTGGAAATTATCTAACAATATCATTAATACCACATACAAGTAAAATTTTGCTGAAAATAACTAAAAAATGACTGCAATAGTACATTGACAGGGATACAGACATTCAGAGACACCACCAGAGGTTCAGGCCAGATTCAGAAGAGGACGTGGAATGAGGGATATCATTGCTGATGTCAAATGGATCTTGTCTGAAAGCAGAGAATACCAGAAAGATGTTTACTTGTGTTTTATTGACTATGCAAAGGCATTAGACTGTATGGATCATAACAAATTATGGATAGCATTGCAAAGAATGGAAATTCCAGAACACTTACTTGTGCTCATGAGGAACCTGTACATAGACCAAGAAAACAGAACAAGGGAATACCACGTGGTTCAAAATCAGGAAAGGTGTGTGTCAGGGTTGTATCCTTTCACCATACTCATTCAATCTATATGCTGAGCAAATAATTCAAGAAGCTTGGCTGTATGAAGAAGAACACGACATCAAGATTGGAGGAAGACTCATTGACAACCTGCATTACGCAGATGACGCAACCTTGCTTGCTGAAAGTGAAGAGGACTTGAAGCACTTACTGATGAAGATCAAAGACCACAGCCTTCAGTATGGATTACACCTCAGCATAAAGAAAACCAAAATCCTCACAACTGGACCAATAAGCGACATCATGATAAACGGAGAAATATTAAAGTTGTCCAGGATTTCATTTTACTTGGATCCACAATCAATGTCCATGGAAGCAGCAGTCAAGAAATCAAACAATGTATTGCCTTAGGCAAATCTGCTGCAAAAGTGTTTTTAAAGTGTTGAAAAGCAAAGCTATCACCTTGAGGACTAAGGTGCACCTGACCCAAGCCTTGGTGTTTTCAATCACCTCATATACATGTGAAAGCTGGACAATGAATAAGTAAGATCAAAGAAGGATTGATGCCTTTGAATTATGGTCTTGATGAAGAATATTGAATGTACCATAGACTGCCAGAAGAAGGAACAAATCTGTCTTGGAAAAAGTACAGCCAGAATGCTCCTAGCAGAGAGGATGGTGAGACTACTTCTCACGTACTTTGGACATGTTAGCAGGAGAGACCAGTCCCTGGAGAAGGACATCATGCTTGGTAAAGTAGAGCGTCAGTGAAAAAGAGAAAGGCCCTTGATGAGATGGATTGATACAGTGGCTACAACAATTGGCTGAAATACAGCAAAGATTCTGAGCATAGCGCAGGAACCAGGCAGTGTTTTGTTCTGTTGTATATGGGGTCACTATGAGTTGGAACCAACTCGATAGCACCTCACAACAACATTGCAAATTATTTTATTTTTTGCACCTGAGGTGTATATAAGTCATTATCAAAGAGAACAAGTGAACTGAAATAATAATACGAATCATTAAGGTATTTTTTTTGGAAATCCAGCTCAGTCCCTTTTTTGTTGTCGTTCAACTTAAGATGATTTGCGTTGTTCCTTCCACTTGCTCTTCTTGATACAAGTAGAATTATTGTCTCAATGTTTTGCAGGGTTGGGTACCTAAAAATCCACTGGAATAGTGATGGTGATTTTTGGCCTGTCCTACTCACCCAAACTTATACAAGATAATATCCTCTTAGGGGTATAGTCAAAGATCTTTTGTGAAGTTGGTTATCACTATTTTTCCAGAAGCATGAGGCCACAAACATTGTTTAAAGTTAGCCTTCTTGCTTCACGTCTGATCCAAACATAAGAATATCCAACTTTCAGGGGAAAAGATATATAATTACTGTTTAAATAGGTCAATTAAAAAAAAAAATGGTCAAGAGTTCCTGGGTGGTGCAAATGGTTAAGCACTCAGCTACTAGCTGTAAGGCTGGCTGTTCGAACCCACTCACAGATGGCTTGGAAGACAGGCCTGGTGACTTGCTTCCTAAAGGTCACAGCCTTGGAAACCCTGTGGAGCAGTTCTACTCTGCACACATGGGGTTGCCATGAATTGGGGCTGACTCAATGACCACTAACAACAAGAAAAAATAGGTCAAAGTGAATTTTGAGAGACATCCTGCCTCATATGAAAACATGCTCTTGCTAAGTAAACTTACCTTCACCGTTCACTAAAACTCATCTCCCCAGTGAGGATGCTGAATTTCGAAAAGTAAGCCCACCACCCAGCTGCCTTTGATGATGGATCATTAAGAGGGTGTCCGTTTAAAGGCCACTGACAGTGAATTGATAAGGGTCAATGACAAGAAGAAGCACATGGAAGAGAGCCAGTTCTGTTTAGCCAACACGAGCTATCCCAGCCAAATTGTTGTGTTCACCTGAAAGAGCCAGAACAATAGAGAAGTTCACCCTGTGGAACAGACCACACACACCTGGTATGCTGTGCTCACAAATTAAGGAAATTCCAGTCACACATTTCACCAAAAAGGGAGCTTTTAATTCTGAACATTTCTAGAAACTAGCTTATGCCATTTACCCTGGCAGAAATGGCAGTTAGCCATACTTGAGAATATTAAACAGTTCTATCCAGTCCCAACAGTGGCTTATTGTCTCTGCATAAAAACATTTGTTTAAATATTAAACAGTGAAATCTCGCCTGGCTATTAAAGCCCATAAAGAAAGAACAAGACGGAAATAGGTTAATAATCTTAGACTTTGGCCAACTGAGTGGCTGGAATGCCATTTGTCTTGATGGCATGTCACCCACCCAGAGGAAGCCATTGCATCACAATCCCAAGCTTCGTTCTCACACAATGTTTACAGTCCTCACCTGATACGTGCCTTTCTTGTCATCAAACGTGCGGATGCAGGAGAAGACCACTTTCCCTTTCCTTAGGGACTGTTCTGAAAAGTTATGAGGGTCTGGATTCGTAATTTCTATTTACCACACGTAGCTTTTTGACCTAGCAAAAACGCACTGAATAAAAATCGTTCTTAAAAATCAAACGTAAGTCAGTTAAAATTTATCTGGAGGCTTGTCCTGCCCCATCCCCCACCTCAATTCCATTCAATTCAATTCCAAAATATTCATTGGATACCCACAATAAGCTTATCCTATGTTTAACATAGAGGATGGGAGGCAGAGGAAGAACGTTTACCAAACACACATGCCATGTATTATCTGACCAGAGGAGATTGCCCTCTCGTTCATGCGTCATCTAATACTTGATTATCTTCTGAGATGGCTTTGCTGATATGACTATCTATCACTGTACCCATCACTGATATAGGTGGTCCCCAACTTATGATGGGGTTACATTCCAATGACTCCATCATAAGTCAGTTCTGACATAAGTTGAATGCCTCTTTTTCTTTTTAGTTTTCATTATTATTTTATTTCATTATCAGTATCTTTATAAATCCAATCTTTATTTGTCTCTGGGGGTTGGAAACATAACATATAAACTTACAGATATATTTTAATACATACATACATAAGAAAAATACACAGATTATAAAAATATATTCCAATGATGAGGAAGAGTTGGACAATGTAGGCATTTTGTCAGTTGCATTAATAACTCCATTTGTGGAAGGTTCTGGATCATCTGGATTATCCCTGGGAAAGGGGATAACATTTTTAGTCAGAAAATTAGTGACAGTTGTCTGTATGGTCCTTTTCTTTTTTTCTTCATATATTTTGCAGTAACATCTCACGGCTTCCTGAATCTGCCTATTAACTTTAGCAAAGTGATCAGCCTTTGGGTTCATGTTTTCAAGCAGCTGAAGCCCCTGATTTAGTTTAGAGAAAACTTCAGCTAATCCTTTTACCCTAAATTTTTTAACAAATTCTCTGCTTCCTTTTCCTCATTATTTCTCTCTTTCTCAGCATTTCTTTCCTCTTCAAAATCCATTAAGTCTGTGATCTATTGAGTTCCCTCCTTTGTGATCTATAAGCTGTTCCACTTCAGTGATATCAAGTTCTAAATTCAGCGTTCTTGCCATATGGATGATTTTCCCACCTATCTCTTCCATCAAGTTATCCTGATCAAATGCTTGGAGTATGTTCACACAACTCAGCAGTCTTTTCCAAATCCCCCTGCATGCATTTTCCTGTAACTTTCTTCCAGAAAGGTACAATGTTCAGGATACACTGAAGAATATTATAATTCTTCCAGAAATTGCATAAAGTTATCATACTTCCATCTGTTGCAGCCATTGCCTGAGAAAACGTAGTCATAAGTAGTATGTCTTGAAAGTGGCGATTTCACCTTGATCCATAGGCTGAATCACAGCTGTCGTATTGGGAGGTAGATACACCACTTTCACATTTTGATCATCTACATGAGGAGGATGTCCTGGGGCATT